ATGATGATTTCACACACTTTCACCATAGTTGTTGCTAGCACAGGGGATGCCTAGATTGATGGGTCCTTCTGAGTGCCTAGGTTGTCACTAGTAATCTTCTAGGATTGCAGGTACATTGTGGCATGCTCTGTGTATTCTATTGGTTGTGATTGTTTCTTGACTAGTAGTTGACTAGTCATATGTGTATTTGGTCAAGGTTTAAAGTGTGTGAAGCTTGCTGTGTTGTTGTGTCTTGTTTGTGTGATTAAGTTTACCCCTCGTCACCTAAGTACCATTTTCAAAATATAGAGTAGGTCTTCGAGTGTAACCTACAATTTTCAAGTGACATTCTGCTGCCGGCGCGTGTGGTGGGGCGTGGGCACTGTAGAAAAGGGGCATTCTGTCCCGAGATGATCTCTTGGCCCTCATGAGTGCGTAAGTGTGCTCGGATTTCAATTTGGATACCGTTTGAGTCTCGAACGGATATCGCCTATTACGCGTTATCCGGGTTCGATAGGTTTGGACCGTTGGATGGTCTTGACTTTATTATATGTTAACGTGGACATCCTTAGGATTGTGTAGGATTCGACGGATCATAGAACGGAGTCCCGGATACTCCGGAAATGCCAACCCTAGGGCTAGGGTTTTAGTAACCGTTCGATCGTGCGATCGTGAGCGATCTGACCTTCCGATCTGGACCAAACTTACAGGATATGTGTCCTAGACCTTGTAGAACCTATAAGAACTTTCAGATCAGAATTTGGAGGTCGTGGACCACGTGGGCCCGTTTGACCAAGTTTGGGTAGTTTGACATTTGGTTGACCGTGAGTCTTCCGACGTAGTTTTACCTTCCTAAGAGGATTATAATGACCTTTGTGACAGGTCTTGAGCGTTGTTGAGTTATGTTGATTATGTGAGATTATGATATTAATTTATTGTGTTAAACTGAGAGATTAGCGGATGCTATATTGTGGTTGAGGTTTATATTGGAAATTGATATATATATATATATATTATAAAGATATAAATATGTTTGATTTCACTGTGTAAGTACCATCATGTGATTGTGAGGTCCCACGTGTCGTAGGATTTTCTGGCGTGCGGACAGGCCCCATACGTGACGTTGGTAGTTCCAGCGTATGGGGAGATATTGTGATATGATGATAAGGTCACACGTGTCGTAGGAGTAGCCGGCGTTTTGACAGACCCCATATGTGGTGTTGGTAGTACCGGCATATGAAGGGATATTGTGTTATTCTTGTGTGGTCACACGTGTCGTAGGAGTAGCCGGTATGTTGACAGACCCCATATGTGGCGTTGGTAGTACCGGCATATGGGGGGATATTGTGTTATGCTTGTGAGGTCACACGTGTCGTAGAAGTAGCCGGTGTGTTGACAGACCCCATATGTGGCGTTGGTAGTACCGGCGTATGGGGGGGATATTGTGTTATGCTTGTGAGGTCACACGTGTCGTAGGAGTGTCCGGCGTGTTGAAAAACCCCATATGTGGTGTTGGTAGTACCGGCATATAGGGGGATATTGTGTTATGCTTGTGAGGTCGCACGTGTCGTAAGATTAGTCGGCGTGTTGACAGACCCCATATGTGGCGTTGGTAGCACCGGCATATAGGGAGATACCGTGATATGATGATGAGATCCCACGTGTCGTAGGATTATCCGGCGTGCGGACAAGCCCCATACGTGGCTTTGGATGTTCCAGCGTATGAGGAGATTTTGTGCGTATTTGGGAGATAAATTAAGGACTGTGATTGTTGAGTCGTGATTTAAAGAAAAATAGTTTGTTTGGGATTTTTGTATTTGATTGCATGTTGATGGTTTTGGAAATTTCGTAGGAAAGAACTACGTGTGGTTTGATCCCTTAGTAAGGGTACGTAGGCACCTAGGGTAGTGCCTAGGTGCAGCCGCAGGCTAAGCTTTGCTCAGTTAGATGATGAGAATTGCATTCGGCATTCATAAGTGTGTTTGAACTTATTTTTGCCCTGTTTAAGATATTTTTGGCTTAAGAACTTTGTTGGTAGTTTGGTTACGAATTGTCTGAATGCCGGAGGCTGTTTATGTGAATTGCATGTTATTACATTGTGCATGCTGCCAGTTGGGATATTAAATGAGTTTTATGCAAGTTGGAATCTTTGGGAAATGTTCCATTTACAGTGGAGACTTTGCCAAAATTTTGGCAGAAAGTCTCATGCCCTTACTCCTTTTGAAAAAGGAGGCTATATTTTAGTGTGTGAGCCCAGCATGGATGTGATGCCGGGGTTTCCACAAGATTCGTCTCGGGTTTCGGGAAATTCGGGGCGGGTCCTGTCATTTATATTATTTAGTTTGGTGCTTATTTAAGCAAAATTGTTCTTTTGTCTTTACAGCAGGGTTTTTAATTAAGTGCCTTTATTTGTTTTAAAGAAATAATTTATTTGTTAAAAAGCCCATTTTTGCAAAAAGCCTTTTTTGGTCTCTGACCTAGTTTTAAGCGTGTAATACAAGAAAGAACTTAGCCGTTTTGATTGGGGTGTCTGCAACGTTGAAAAGAGAAGGAACGACAAAATATTTGCAGAGAGTTTTTTGAGAGTTGATATTGAAAACTCATGTGGTTGTTCCTATGAGTGATTAAATCATCATCTTTTCATATATGTGTGAGTTCATGAGCATTATGCATGTTGGTGATCAGCAATCGTGCCTTGAGGTGTGAGCAGCCGAGTCTAGAGTTGTGCCATCTCTTGTTGACGAAGGAAGACAAGATCGCTGGTTGGGTTGAGTAGCAAAGGCGAGTAGGCAAGTCTGCCTTGTGAGCGTTAGTCTTGTGAGTTGAGACTTTCAAGACCTTTTTGTATTCTTTCTCATAGTGATTTGTTCTCTGGCATAGTGCCCGCAGTTGTTTTCCTCATCTTGAGGTTTTTTACCGCATCAATATATTGTGTGTCCCTTGTGCAATTGTTTGCGTTTTTATTTGAATTTATTATGCTGCGTATTCTGGAATTTTTTGCTTACAAGATTGTTACAGTATTTCAATCCTGCTGTGGTGTTTGAGTATTAAGAAACAGATCAGTTGGTCATTCTAGGGAATTTCATATTAGAAACAAACTAACTAAATATACACGTTGGTCAGCAACTGAATTAACCACTGCCAGCCCAACAAATCCAGTTGGCTTCAGCTATCATGTATAGCCAACAAATATTGTAGTGACTTTATCTTTCTTCAGCGGAGACAAACGATGTTGGAGGATGAAAGATTTGGTTAGTGCTTAAAAGATTTTGGGCTTATGCACCCATTGCAAAGAAATTAAATAAACCTAGGTAGACAAGGCTATACTTTAGAATTTTTGGTGCATTATTAATGCAACATAAAAAAACCTGACACTGTCCGGTGAGGTGGGGGAGGTGCCGGTGCGCAGTTAAACCTGACGAGGTCCGGTGGGGGGCACTTCCTCTTACGGAAATGGTCCTGGAAAAGAGTGACTACATCACACAAGTCGCTGGCCAGGAGAACACGGGCTTTGACATCTTTGGTGGCCTTGGCGCTACTGGTCGACAAGGGTAATAAGTTGGGAAATACAGCAATTGTTGCCCAATCTACAAGTTCTTCTCCAAAGAAACCTTCCGCTTCAAGCTGCGCAGCAGAAGGATCCTTACTACTTTCAATCTTTACAATTCCTTCTATGATGAAGAACATCTTATCAATCGGTCCATTCTCTTTAATAATATCGGTCTTTGCAACATATTTCACAGTCTTAGAATGCTTCCAGATCGCTTTCAGTACTTGTTCGTCCAGTGAGTCAAGCTTTGGAACCTGCGTAAATTAATTCAATAGATATATACATATATGCATTTAAGAAAAGATAATGAGAGGAAAATTAAACTAATTAGCAAGGTAGCATGCATCAAATAGGAACTTACTCTCTGTAACTTTTTCCACATCATATTGGAATTGAGATAGCTTTGAAGTTCAGAGGGAAGAATAGAGAGGATCTCCTCCACGTCACCACCCCTGAGTTCGTCAGGTTCGTGTTTCACCGTTCTCATGATCTGTGACTTTACCTTATCCTTCTCATTTTGAGAGATGTTGACATTCTCGGATAACCAGGATGCTATCTCTCTATCTTTCTCTTTCAACCTCCGTTTGAATTTCATCTCTTGATTAACACGTTCTTTACGTGCCTCTTCTCTTGCAGCGTCGAACTGCATGTACATCTATTAATCCAAAACAACGTAGCTACGTTCAGTTCATGAGTATTTATTCTAATATCTATAAGTAACGTTAATTATTCTAATATCTATGATGAACAATAGGAGAAGAAATTTTTGGGAAAAAGCGATCTTCACAGCTTGCCTTTGGTGTGGCAGTCGCGCTGCCACATAATCTTACTAATTCATTCATATTGTAATATGTAGATTAATATTACCATATAACAGTGACCATATATATATATGTATATATCACACTAAAACATTTTCTCCTCTTTTTGACAAAGTAACTAGCAATAAATGATTCAGACCAAAGTGAAAAATCGCAATGAGTGATTTGTCCCTCCTAATTAAAAAAGCAGGTAGCCAACACTAGCATGGATGCTCAAATGAGAACAAAGACGACATATATAAATACTTGACACCAACCTGCAAATTTCCAATGAGATATATAAATAGTAGCAGGCCAATAATAGAAACAAAAGCTCCGCTTCAAGCTGCGCAGCAGAAGGATCCTTACTACTTTCAATCTTTACAATTCCTTCAATGATGAAGAACATCTTATCAATCGGTTCATTCTCTTTAATAATATCGGTCTGTGCAGCATATTTCAGAGTCTTAGAATGCTTCCAGATCGCTTTCAATACTTGTTCGTCCAGTGAGTCAAGCTTTGGAACCTGCGTAAGAAATGATAATGAGAGGAAAATTAAACTAATTAGCAAGGTAGCATGCCTCACATAGGAACTTACTCTCTTTAACTTTTTCCACATCATATGGGAATTGAGATAGCTTTGAAGTTCAGAGGGAAGAATAGAGAGGATCTCCTCCACGTGTCCACCCCTGAGTTCCTCAAGTTCGCGTTTCACCGTTCTCATGATCTGTGACTTTACCCTATCCTTCTCATTTTGAGGGATTTTGACATTCTCAGATAACCAGAATGCTATCTCTCTATCTTTCTCTTTCAACCTCTGTTCCGTTTTCATCTCTTGATTAACACGTTCTTTACGTGCCTCTTCTCTTGCAGCGTCGAACTGCATGTACATCTATTAATCCAAAACAACGTAGCTGCGTTCAGTTCATGAGTATTTATTCTAATATATCTATAAGTAACAAATAATGGATAATGTATATATAATGTTGTTATATGAGGGTAATGAATTGAACCTAGCTAGAAGTTAGAGTTTTAGGCTTCTTCAGCAAGGAAAGACAACATATTAGAGTTTTAGGCTATGATGAACAATAGGAGATGAAGTTTTTCGGAAAAAGCAATCTTCACAGCTTGCCTTTGGTGTGTGGCAGTCGCGCTGCCACATAATCTTACTAATTCATTCATATTGTAACATGTGGATTAGTATTACCTGACCATATATATATAACACTAAAACATTTCTCCTCCTTTTGACAAAGTAACTAGCAATAAATGATTCAGACCAAACTGAAAAATGGCAATGAGTGATTTGACCCTCCTAATTAAAAAAGCAGGTAGCCAACACTAGCATGGATTCTCAAATGAGAACAAAGATGACATATATAAATACTTGACACCAACCTGCAAATTTCCAATGAGATATATAAATAGTAGCAGGCCAATAATAGAAACAAAAGCCGCAAAGAGGTTCTCCCATGTAGTGATACTGGGCTGGAGGTTCGAACCAAGAGAGCTGAAAATATAAATATGGATCGCAAATATAAGATACAAATCTCTACTTTTAAATTCAGTGTGTTCATAATTAGGAACTCAAACCAGATGCTATGTATACATTGTGCTCAAGCAAGACAGAGAATTAGAAACTGGGGAAAAACAGAGTTTTGAAATGACAGTTGAAATTTTTAACAGAAAAGTTGAGTGTATTTTATTTGTGAGTAAAAGCTATAGCAAGATATATGCAAGACCAATGAGCTTCAAATTTACAAACCTCAAATTTCGTATGCCCCACCAGAAACAATTGGAGAATTTTTGTGGATGATTTGTTGACTTGGATATTTCAGATTTAAGGACGTCAACAAATATACCAAAATCAAAGAGCGTTTCATTTTGTGGGTTTATTGGACATAAATCATTTAGAAATGTGGTATTTCTGAACTGGTCATCACAAACAAAACTACGAGGTTCACATCCAATTTCAGTTCGACATGCAAGTTGCCAGCAAGTCTTCATTCTTTGAATAGCAAAAAAGTACCAAAAAGCTCCGAGTACCTAAAGAATTGACAAATTATATATAGTTCATTAGAATAGTTTTTCAAATATACTTCGGTAGCTGGACCTGTAAGGTAGATTCATTTAAAAACCTTAACTTTGATCAAGAAATAAAATGAAGAAAAAAACAGAAAAATGATGCATCAACCTTTACATAAATTACAATGAAGAGACTGAAACTTACATGACTAGCAAGGATGTACAGAAGGAAATTGAGCACGCTTTTAATCCATAGTCCAATACGTTCGTTGAAACTCTCTTTAAGTTCCTTACATGAAAAGTAGATTCGAAGAATCCGTGGCACATATTGCACCATAGCAAGAGAATTCATAAGCATCGCTATATTCAAAGATCTCCAGCCCTCCGCTTTAGAAAAGAAAAGGATAATTACCACCTGTGAGTGACAAAATACAATGTTTAAGTTATACTACCAGCAGTCAAATCAAATAAATTAATTAGTGTGAGAAGGATATGATAATGAAGGATTCTCTTAATAATTACCTGTGGAAGTGGAAGAATAGCTAAAATGTCAATTATGACGGATGACTGCCAAATGGTCTTTGCTATTGTTGAGAAAAAAGAAGTTTCATGCATCAGTAAAAATAAATTTAAGTTTGAATATTAATCAAGCAGTTTCTGAAATGAAATTAATAAATTTGAGGCGAAAAGTTTCTCACATATATCAAGTCGAACAAGTAAGTCGACAAAGTAAGAGAAATCTGCGACTGCTCTCAAAGCAAAAGCTGTCATATTCAATTCTTTGTCCATGTCGATGCACTTGATATCGTGGTTGATGATAGGAATGTAGAGGAACAATGGGTCGACTATAACAGAAATCACACATGATATTACAAATATCTTTCTCCAGTACTCTATCCGTTCGGACAGAAAATATATGCCTCCAATAGTTATCGCCTTTATAAGACAAAAAATAAAATATATGCCTCCAATAGTTATCACTATTGCTGCCTTTATAAGTTTAGAAGCTGCCGGTATAAGATAACAAATAAGTTTAACAGTTATCACTATTGCTGCCTTTATAAGTTTAGCAGCTGCCGGTATAAGATAACAAATAAGTTTAACAGTTATCACTATTGCTGCCTTTATAAGATAAAAAATAAGTTTAACAGTCGCCTCTATTAGTTTCACTGGAATTTCCACTGCCAAGAAGCATCCCCAACGAAGGATTGCTGACATTGATGACGTGATCGTCGTTGAATTTGAAAATGTAAGAGTGGGGGGCACCTATCAAATAGAAGAAACTAGAAACAAACAGTTAATTAAGGAGCCAGCCATTCGTGGAAGCTATGGCAAGTTTCTTCTTCATCATCTTCTTCTTCTTCTCAACTCAACTCAACTCAACTCAACTCTCTCTCTCTCTGTCTCTCTCTATCTCTCTTTAAGGTCAGTAAATTTTTGGAGAAAAAAGGCTTATTTTTTTATATACCCCCTGAAATAGTGGAAGGGGAGAAGAAATCGGTCGGTGTGGGGAGAAGAAATCTTTTTTTCTCTTCTAAAAATTAATTATTTACAATATTTCTATGAATTTTAAGTTTTAAAATTGAATTTTTAATTTTTAATTAATATTTTATAATAAAAAATGAAGTAAAGTGAGATAAAAAAGTAAGAAAAATAGAGTAAAATGAGACAAAATGAGTTTCATGGGGCAAAGTGAGACTAAAATACACTCTTGGGGTATATCAAAAAATAAGCAAAAAAAAAAAAAAAAAAATGATAACTATAGAAAAAACCCTAAACTATGGATCACTTTCAAGTTCATACCCGTCTTGTAAGGCATTTTTTGTCCACGTAAAAGTCTTTGTCATTAAAAAATAGGTCTCACTTTTGACACGCTATGCCCCAAGAATTTCCAATAGACCACAATATGCCCCCAGAATTTCCAGCCAAGACGATGCCGCTCCTCACGTTCCATATATCCATGGGTGCGCTGCAGTGGGAGCAGAGTTAGTGGTGGTTTGGTTGGTTGTTTTGTGCAGCCAGGGTAGTTGTGTGGGATTGTTTTTAAAGTTTTGTCTTGATGTTCTGATCAAATATTGGGATGCTCCTTGAAGCCCTAGCTACCAGTCATAGTCATCCAAAGTTTGAGGTTTTGCGTGTTGGCATAGGATGATGGAGTCACATGCAGTTATTAAAAGATGTTGGAGCCCTGCCCAAGAGACATGATATTACTGTTAACAAAAGTATACGGAAAAATAAAATAAAATAAAAAATAAAAAATCGATTACCTTGCCCAAGAGGCTAGTAATTAATAATAATTATCGCATAAAAAATTACTAATCTTTTGTGCTTGTCTTCGCTCCTATTATTAACCCAAAGATAAACTCTGCTCTTCGCTTATTGACAGCTGGTGGCTTGTAATTTCCCCTGCTTCTTGTCAGATATTGATGAGTGCGAGGCTTCAAAGCTCTACAACAATGGAAGGTGGGTTAATTTACTCCGGAAAAGGGTACAGAAACGAAAGGCTGGCCGCCCTGATGAGTTTCGTCAAAAGCATGAACATTTCCCTTAAAATTTCATTGGGTATGTACCACTTACTATTTAGCTACTTAATTGCATATGATTAGCAGGTATATGTATATCTGTGAGTGAGTGTGACTTTGTGTGTATTTCCCTTTTGCAGGTATCTGTGTAAGCTTCTTTACTATACTGGTTGGAATTCTTTTGATACTTAGTATGTCTAAGCTTCGTTATTATCCGTGTAAGATAATCGAGTTGCTAAAACGCATTGCAACATCACAACACATACTGGCTATACATAATAATAATGCACCTTCCAAGTTAGCACCCAGAAAGTTTTCTGCACGAGAAATTTCTTGGGCGACAGATGATTTCTACGGCGGCAGATTCATTCGCAGAGGAGGCAAAGGAATAGTTTACAAAGGAGTTCTACAAGATAAAAGCGTGGTGTCCATAAAGAAGTTCAAGTCAGAAGTACCTAGTAGAATTGTCTCTAAAATCTTTGTTAACGAGGTGACTATTCTTTCCCAGATTAAACACAGACATATTGTGAGGCTATTAGGTTATTGTGCAGATCTGGGAGAAGAAACCCTAGTTTGCGAGTTCATCAACAATGGCACTCTTTACGAGCACATTCATGAAAAAAGCGAAGGATCATCAACACTCTCATTCCAATTGCGAATGAAGATAGCAGTAGAAATCTCAGCTGCACTAGAATACTTGCACTCCTCCTCTACTTCCAAGAATTTATCAATCGTACATCTAAACGTGAATTCAAAAAGAATACTATTAGATAAGAATTACAGGGCAAGATTGGCCAACTTTAGAGAGGCAAAAGTGATTCCTCAAGATCAAACTCAAATACAAGGTACCCTGCGAGGTTTAGCCGGATACTTAGACCCTGAAAGTAAAAAATCAAAGAAGTTGTCAACAAAGAATGACGTCTATAGCTTTGGAGTGGTCCTAGTTGAGCTACTGACAAGCCAGAAAGCATTTTGTGGTGAAAAGCCTAAGGGACAGAGAGGCCTAGCAAAGTTATTTGCTCGTTCAGTGGAAGAGGGTCGCTGGGATCAAATTCTTGATCGTAAAATAATCAAGGAGGAAAATTTGGAGACAGCCAAGAAAGTGGTTGATCTCGCAAAAAGCTGTTTAGGGTTACAAAATGAAAGGCCTTCCATGAGAGAAGTAGCCTTGAAGCTCGAGGTTATGGCATGGGATTATTCAGCTGCTAAGGGACTGGCTAAGTTGAATTTCTCTCCATCTCCCAAAGAGACGGACGAGTTGCTTGGGTCACCTTCAAACGCTCAACTTCTTCATGTCAGACGTGAACACGATGAATCTTTTGGCCGTGCAGAGTTATACGACGACAGCAGCTTGCAAAATGAAATCGAAATTAATGTCGAACTCGTATGATGATGGCCGATATAATTGTCTTATTGCCAGCTTGCTTGTGATGTAATGAAAATTGTACCTTGTTTCAATTTGATTCCCTTTTTTTTTCTTTTTTTTTCTTTTTTTTTTTGGTGGTAGATACTGAAAACCCTTAATTGATTTGACGCTAGTGATGTATTGTAAAAATTAACAATTATTAGCTTGTTTCAATTTCAGTCAACTCAGTTAACGGTAACGTGGGTCGTATGTGAGGAGGATGTGTATCTAATTCAAGTTTGCAAACGTACCTAATCTAAGAACTGATCCAATTCAAGTTTACATACGGTACAACACATTCATATTTATAAGAGAGCATCTTCAAAGAACTCCTTAAATGAGCTTCTTAACTAAAATTTAGAGAAGTTAAAAACTTCAACTTTAACCATGATCTCCTTATCCAACTCTTACTAAAATATAGAGACATCTTGCAATATGAAGAGAGAAAAGAACTTCTAGTAAGCACTTCTGATTGGAGATACAATTATCTTGCCAAACTTATTGTAAACAAAGATTATGGGCTAATTTGGAATTGCTTCTTTAGGAAGCACTTTTGTTCATAAGCGCTTCCATCAAAATTTCTTTTATTATAAACTAGTTGAAATTTTCATAAGAAATCAAAGTGTCCTAGAAAAGCACTCGGGAAGTACATGGCAGGTGTTTATCTAGAAAGCATTTTTATGGCCTATAAACGCTTCTAACCTTTTCTATTAAACGTTGTCAAAAGTTGTCAAAAGTTTATTCATTGTCAGAAAGCGCTTTTAGCCATTCCAGAAACACTCCTAAATGCGCCACATGTCACCAACCAAAGCAAATTAGTTTATTAAGTCAACTTGCGGTAGACGTTAAAATGATAAACCACGTGCAAACGCCCAAATTGTTATTTGATTAAATCTTCATAGTAAACTGCTATTTGATTATACCTTTAAAAATAATAAACTAGAAAATCTATCTACCTTGTTTTATCAAATAAATCTATCTACCTTAAAAATAATAAATCAAATAAATTAAAGTAGCTTATCTAATCGAAGTAATACCATAAAAATAATAAATCTTCATGTTGCCATTTGTACTTTTCAACATGATTCCAATACACTGTAACGTGGGTCGTCACATGTAGATCGATTCAGGAGAGCCTTTTGAATCAAATCTAGGAACGGACCTAATTCAACCTTAAAAGTATACAACACATCGTTCATACACAGATATGCAGTCCACATTTTTTTTATATATATAGTTTATATATTGAATAAAATTTCATTAGACATGTGTCTTTTTTCTTAATTATCAACATATTGGCAAGTTGTTTGAATTTATGAATTGCAGTACTAAAAGATCGCTAGTTGTCAAAAAAAAAAAACATTTTTAACTCTTGTCATGGAAACAATTGATAATACATCTAGACTTCTAGTCTGGTCCCCAAGTAAGTATCTTTTTGTAATAAATTCCCTCGTCTTTCCAACCAAAGCAAATAGTTTATTTCCGTTAGTTAATTTTGCAGAGTTGTTTACACCAATACTTAGTGCTGTTTTCGGTGCGGTAATACTGATCTCTATCACAAAATTCTCTGAGGTTTTAAATTTTTTTTCACAAAACTTCCTTCCATTAATTTTTTTTCTAAAAATTGATGATTTTATATATATAAAAACATTATCCAACAAACAAAGTTAGCCTTTGAGATTAGATTGCACATGCATTCATAGAGGTTAAGTTTGTCATTTGCATAAGTTTTCTTTTATGAAATAATCATTTTTTAGACGAACAATCAATGAAAATAAGTTTTGTGAAAACAATTTGAAATTTCATAGAGTATTTGTGTAATTTTTGAAACCTCAAGGGATTTTATGAAAACACCAAAAACCTCAGAGGGTATTAATGTAAATAACTCTAGTTTTACAACTACTCCAATCCAATTGGCGCGAGAGGCATCTTGTTGCTAATTGGATTGTTCCTAACTACGTAATTAATTGTATTGTGTTTCGATTTAAGTGGGTGCCTCATTGCCAGAATACTTTATTGTTGTTATAATGTGAATCTTAGAGCTATGTTTTTTTAACTAATAGGAGACGCGGATTAGAATTTAAAATGTTTTGATACAAACGACACTGAGAGAGGGTAATTAGAATTTAAAATGTATTTTAACATTTGAAAGAAACTAATACTTAATTGCATTTGGTCAGTAAAAAAAACCTATGAATCCGGATTTTGATGCTTTTAATGTTTTTATTAAGGTCTTATGCCAACATCCGTATCTATTATATAGATGACCCCGACAGTAACTAGAAGATTGGAACATACAAATTACAAGACCATAGTTTCCACTAAACCTGTATCAGTTTTTACCGAGCACAAGAAGTTGAGAAGAGAAGGCCGCAAACAATTAAACAAAAGTAAATTTTATTCTGCCAACTAGTTATTATTAGTTTAATAGTATTTATGAAGTTGAAATTGCCCCTCTTAATATAAATAAATAGATTAAATTTCATTTTGGTAGCTTGTTTGGTTTTATAAATTCCAGTCAGTGCCAACTAGTTGTCACAATAAAAATCTTTCAATTCTAGAATTGGATAAATAAATAAAAATGTTATGTTAGCATTGAGAATAGAATCTGGTCATGTCCCCACCAAGTCTTGTTGACTAGATTCGTTCGTCTCCCAAAACAAAGCAAATTTAATTTTGGCAAATTGCAGTGCTTGCTAGTTCTCATGCAAAGCATTTTTAATTCCAAGCTTTAAAAAAATATGTTAAACCTAGCAAGCATCGGGACTAGATCTAGGCTCTGGAAAGTTATTGGCTTCCAGACTCTGGGGATCATCATGGGCCCGGACGGGTCCAGCTTGGCTCAAAATTTTGGGATTTGGCAAAATTGTGAGTTGACCCGGAGCGAGCTTAAGTTTCACGCACACATGCCTTCACACACACATATTTATATACACACACACATATTTATATACACGCACACATGCCTTCACAATATTTGTTTAATTGCAAACATGTCCTTGGACAAGTAATCGTGCCATCACTCTTCCTTGCCATTTCTTCAAGAACCTGGCACCAAGATCATCAAATACTAGCAATAAGACAACGAAAGTACGTATGTAAATAAGCATGCATGTAGCCGCGGATGGGAAAATAACATCTTATTACTACACACATGCCTTTATTATATGCACACCTCACCCAAAAAATAATAATTAATTAGTTGCACATGCATAATAATACTAACCAATTCGATCACCAAGCTGAACCCTTGCCAAGTCTTCGGCCTTAAGAACCAGAACTTCAACTTCACCGATGGCCCAAAAACTAAAGGGAGAAGGGGGCAATTCGGCAGGAACGTTAGCTTTCGTACTTTTAGATTGCATCCAATGTCGTATAAGCTCATCTCCACTGTGATTTGGACGTTCTCCTTCTCTGCGGTAATGTTTCGAGCTCTCGTTTGTCACTGACACAACTCCGCTGACAATGAAGAACATCATTTCCATTTGTTTATCCTTCAGAATAATGTACTCATCTTTATATGTTTTTTCGGTAAGATGCTTGCACATTTCTTTCAACACTTCCTCATCCATAGTCTCAAGGCTTTCCACCTAGGATATTATTGGAGACCATATTAATTTAAGGCAAAGGAGAAATTAGAATTATGATTAAAATATATAGGATATATTATAGGTCTGGTTCTCTTCATCCAGAGGAACTTACATTCTTTAGGATGGTCAACGGTTCTCGAGGCTGATCAGATTCTGTAGGGAAGGCGGTTTCCGTGCTGAATTTCGACCTGAATTCAGATACTACACTCTTCAAGTCGTCGGCTTTGAGAGCAAGGATTTCGACAGGACCACCAAGCACGCCGCATAGCGCGGAACAAGGTGATAAAGGTGGTTTGGGAGGAAGGGACTTGTGTGATACCCAAGTTGTAACCCAATGTACAAGTTCTTCTCCATAGAAACTTCCTATTTCACAGGTTTTTTTAATGTTCACGTCCATAGCACTATCGCTTTCAATTAATACAACTCCTCGGATGACGAAGAACATCATTTTAAGTGGTTTTTTCTCTTGAAGAATATGGCGCTTGGCAACATTGAAGTTCATGGGCTTAAGACACTGCAAGATTGCTTCTAACACTTGTTCCTCCATGTTTTGAAAGATTTCCACCTAAAATTAGATAGATGCATGCGACATTGTCAGTCAAAGAAAAATACAAAGCAAATCTTCTAAAAGTTAGTACTGGGTAGCTAGGATGATATATAATGGTTTTAATTGGATGTGTTTTCTTCATTAAAAGTTAGTACTGCAGATGGAGCAACTTACTTTTTTTAGCCACGTCAACCGGATATCTGAGGGAGAGGCGAAATCGCTGAAATGCTTCATGAACTTAGAGACTACACTCTTCAAGATCCTGGCCTTCAGAATGAGGACTTCAGCATCATTTGAGACTACTCTAACAGTGCAGGTCGACAAGGGTAATATGGTAGGAAAAGACTTATCCAGTACCCACTCAAGAAGTTCTTCTCCAATAAAATTTTCTTCGAGAGGGTTCTCATTTTTTGTTACCTCTCCCCTCGTGACGAAGAACATCATACTAACTGGTTGGTTCTCTCGAACAATATAGTCGTCATGTTTATAGCTAACCAGAGAAAGATGATGAGACATTGATTTCAATACTTGTTTATCCATAGTTTGAAGTTTTGGCACCTAGGATTTGACACATTATTAATTTCTCAAACATGAAGAGAACATTATATAAATCAAGTAAGTAACATCATTGTATATACGTCTTCCAAATAGAAAGGAGCTTACTTTCTGAAGAATAGTTACCACCATGCGCAACTCGTTGATAGACCGCCTGGAACTAAAGCCCAAGGTCGCCATGTCTGTGGCAGAGAGAACAAGGGCTTGAACATCATCAATGGCCCGAACAGACTCGTTTATGGGTTTTGCATCACCAGAGGAGGTCCACAATGGAGAAACTAGAAGTTCCTCTC